AAAATTAGATAAATGCAAACTGTAAATGCAAATAAATTGGTTTGCAGTGTGTGTTGATGATCACAGTGGTTAATTGGCTCTGTATGTTATGCAATGGATGGCAGTAAATTATAGACATGCTATGTCCTAGACAATTGCAAATTTTCCAAATAGCAGAAACACATTGAAAATATTGATATACTAGTATGGATAGACAGATGATGAAGTATTTGTTCACTTGCATCAGAAATGAATCTGAGCTTTGGGTCTGTGCATGCAATTGTTAGAGACCCCAGATACCATAAATATTGCTGGTTGTTCCATTTCAACTATTGGAGAATCAGAAGGAACAATGGATGGCTGTGGTACTAGAATATTTGCTGTGCAGAGGGTAACATAGTGAATCCACTGGAAAATCTGCAAGCATGCAATGGAAACATTTTAAGAAATTCAAAGTAAACCACTTATTGAGAAAGTTAATCTCATCATATTTTTTGATATTCAAGAATTTTTATTTGTGAAATTCAAGCCATGAAATAAAGTCATCAATGCATATACCATGTCACTATGATACTACATTGCAACAACTACAGAAGAACAAACATTCAGGAAAACTCACTTCTAGCATTAACCTGCTGCATGACAATGTCTACCTTTATATTGCTCATTCATTTCAAAATCAGGTGAATGCCATGCAACAGATTTCCTACATATTTTCCACAGCCTAAATCTGTCAGTCTGGTTTTTGTCATTTTAGGATTTTTAAAAGAACCTGAAGGAATAGGGATTTGGTTTGGGTAAAGATGTCATAGAAGTACAGAAACTTTTGCTGATGATACAAAGTTTTTAATTAAACTGTGTATCTTGTAATTAATTTAGATTTTTCAGCAAGAAAGATGCTTATATATTTGTTTACATGTACAGAAGTGGTTTTGGGACCATCCCAAGGAGTTTTTTTTTGAAGATGGTATTTTTCTTTGCAATTTTTGAAACAATAGTGTTCTTGCCTCAATGTTTATGGATTGGAGCAAAGTATACACACAGTACTATTAATAAATGGGTTTCATTTGAATTTCTCTTATATATTTTCATGCTCTAAATAAAGATTTTAACATATTTACTTTTTATTCATTAATTTTTTACATACACATTCGTTAATTTTTTACATACACTACACATTTAAATTTTTGATATGCATTTGAATTTTCTACTTAACTTAAAAAATGAGTTTTTTAAAATACTAACTATGTTAGTTCAAATGATTATGACAGAGTTTGAAGATTCTGATTTTTTCAATACTCATGTCATCCTTACTGTAATAGCTTTGATGATTTTGATATATTGTTGGCTTCCATGTTTGAACTAACAGACTTTTATGTAAGCCATTATTAAAATTTTAATTCCAAGTTTAAATTAAAATAATTTAGAAATATAGACATATTCAAACCCTTTGATTTATTTTAAGCTGTATAGTTTTATTTGTTATAAATAACAGTTATTTACAATAGCTTAACATTTGTTTATTTGACTTAAATTTTTATATTTAATAAAAAATTTTATATAAATTGCTTTGTCATTAAAATGATGAATGTAGATGTTTTCAGTTTAAAAATTTTTAAATTTTTTATCCAATTACATGCTACAACTCTAAGTTGGAAAGTACTAAAGACAAATGGTCAGTTGTAACACCCAAAAAATATAAACAAATGTTTGACTCATGGAAACAGACATGTAGACTTGTTGATAAACAGCAAGGAGCTCACATTGAACAGACCAAAACAATTCACAGAAGGGTTCTTAAAGACATTAATTAATTAATTTTGAGGTTGAGTAATATTTGCATGTACTATACCTCCTCAGTAATAATAGGAGCATTCCTACATACTTTAACCTTTTGCTCTCAAATAATTGTGCTTATGAAGTATTTACAAAATTATTATTTTTATGAATAGATTACAAACTTACTACAACACCTAGGCATTTGCCAAGAGAATTTTTTTATTAACAAACATTTTTAGCTTACTCCCATAGACCATCATCAGATCATCAGGTTTTTAAATCCATTTTAGAAAATGGGAGTAATCTAACCTGATGATGGCCTATAGGAGTAAGCTAAAAATGTTTGTTAATAAAAAAATTCTCTTGGAAAATGCTTAGGTGTTGTAAGTTTGTAATCTATTTCTGCTGAGAACTTCCAGACTGAATTTACTAATAGAGATAAAATGTTCTTTTACTCTCCTGCTTAAAGAATCAACAGTAGAACCAATTTAATAGGAATTCTAATGATCTTTGGTGAGGTTTGATCATATGTATTCCAGCTTTATCCATATACAGTTGATTCCACTTATTTGGGACAGGTTGGGGCAGCCACTTAATTGGGACAAAATGGATTAGTCCCAATTAAGTGGCTGCCCCAATTAAACAAACTAATAATAAATTCTAATTTTTTCAAAATTGCAATGCAGCGTAATAATCAACACTTGGCATAACTCATTCGTTTATTTCAATTTTTGTTGATGTTGAGAAGTTGATGTTTGTTATGCCAAGTGCTGATTATTACGCTGCATTGCGATTTTGAAAAAATAATATAAAGATACAACATGGTTTCGAAATATGAAAGAATAAATTCTAAAATAAAATATATAATATGTAGGTAAATAAATAAGTAGATAAAAATAATAATTAGGACCTATTTTAATGCTTTATTAAACCAAAATACAGAAAATATTTGTACTATAAATTTGCATACTCACGACAATAGATAACTGATTTGTATCTTGCTAGTGTTGCCAAATACAGTTTTAGTAGTGACACACACAATGGTTGACCATTCGATTCATTCCTAATCAAACAAATTTTTCCTTTCTCCCTTTTTAGTTAGAACATGTTCTAACTAAAAAGGGAGAAAGGAAAGGGTTTATCCAAAAGTCACCTTACAGTCTTCCTTTGAGCAAAGTTCCTTTACTTGGAGATGGGCCACTTCGGCACGAGCATCCATAGAATCTGCCAGCTCCGGGTGCTTGTCTCAACAATCGAATGGCTGTTGTTCAAATCTAGACATAATTATGCACACAATACCTTCCAAGGAAACTCTAGCTGTTTTCCAACTCAGTTGAGAGACCTTGAAAAATTGTCTAGGGAACTTTGTCCCTTTGCTCTTAAAGGGATCGTCCAGTCCAATCCAGAGCAGGATCAGTAGCTCGCATTCAGGTCCATCTTAGACATGATCTTCGTGTAATATGTCCCACTAAGATGACCTCCTTTAGAATAACTGAACTGCTCAAGCTAAAGACAAAATCACTTTGTCTCTGTCAATCATTAGGCCTACATGACATTAGTATACATAGTGTCTACATATTTTTGGAAGATCCCTAAAATATATCAAAATTTGCTAAATTTCTTTTCTGTTATCTCAGTTAAGCAATTAAATTATGTATTAATTTATTAGTTTGGTTTCTGTTCTTTGGGATTTGGTCCAATAAAGCAGTGCCCTGATTAACTGGTGGCCCAATTAAACGGAATTGACTGTATTTCATTCTGTCATCTAACCTCAACATTTTCCTAACAGAAAGTTTCATACTGCTTATTAACTGATTATTAGAGAGATTAATAGTAACCTTATTGGTGTAAAGCTTAACACCAAATTGGGAAGTTTACTTATTTAGATTTATAAGTTTTCAAAAGGCAAGCAAAATGTTGTATTAAAGTTTTTCACAAGTGTATATCTGTAGATGCCTATGTACTCTAGTAGTAGATTCATTAATTAACAGTCATCCCTCATTGTTCCTTGATAGTACAGTAGAGCATCAATTATCCAAAACAATTCAGGATTGGGGTTGTTTGGATACAATACAGTTTTGTGTTTAATATATTGTGTATCACACATCTTACAAATACATACCTTACATAAAGTAGTATATTAAAGTAAGTGTACAGTTTAGTTTGGCAGGGAGGATGAGAGTGCTGCAGCGCCACAGCACTGGCAGAAATTTGAATTTGCCAACTGGAACACTTTCAGTTAACCGATATTTCAGTTGATTGGTATTCAGATAATTGATGCTCTATTGTACATATAAAATAAGAATAAAATAGAATTATATTTATATAGCTTCTGTCTTTGGTTTTCTAAATAAGGCCAAAGAGGTATTGCTTCATATTTTAATAACACCTAAGCATACCTCCATCAAAGTAGGATTTACCATTACTGGCAAATATCTGCATTAATTATTTTTTTATAAATAAATAAAGCAAGCATGAAACTTAGATGTTATGCAAATGCTGAGGTCATATAAGGGCAGAATGAAAGGTATGCATAAAGCTGTGGTAAGTGTATATGATTAAACCTACCAAAAAAAAACAAGAATTTATACTACATTGGTTCTACCATTTGTTCTTTAATTAAGCAGGAGTTTTATATCTGTATTAGTTAAAACGATTTTTATCTGTATTAGTAAAAATGATAATTTTGCAAATAATTTCTCTAACTGAAGATGGCCTAAAAAGAGTAAAAAATGTTTTTACATGTAATAAAATGGCTAGTTGAAAAGACAATGTGAATTTCTATTTTTATAAGGAGATTCTACATTGTTTAATTACCTCAAATTAATCAATTTTTTTAAAAATTCTATTTATGTAATTTTTTTTACAAAATTAGCAAGAAAAAATAATTCAATATTAGGTGTAGCTTAAGTTCTAAAATAAAAAATTAAACAACTTAATTTTTAGATAGTAAAGATTTTTGTGATGATTTACTAGTCAGAAAATATGAAGTATTGTTTAATTAATTCAAGAGATATAACAATATGGAATGTGCATTGTGCTAGCTAATTTTGCTCTTCACTGTATTAATTAAAATATTGCATATTAAATAAATTAAAAAATAGATCATTTTAAAATATGAATTTATGAAGTAACTTGAAATTGACAAAGCAGTTTATTTAAAATGTTAATATAAAAAATAAAATATGAATATGAGGACACTGATGGTGATGCACCCACAATATCAGTCCTCCTCATCTCAGGAAGGACTAGGAGAATCACCACTCTGCTACAGTCAAGAAGGAACATATAGCTCTAGCAGACGAAGTAGCCAAGAAGACCTTCGTTGGGCAAGTGAACCTCGTCCTTGGAGTAGTACTGATTCAGATAGTTCTGGCCGGCCACATCTACAACCAGGAACAAAATCAACTTGTAGCAGCTTTGAGTTTGAGGTAATTAACATTGTTGTTATTTCTAACTATAAATATGTCATTATGTAATTAAAATAGAAAAATGACGACGGCTACAGCAATGATTGCTGTTCAAAGTGATTGTATCAAATATTTTTGAAAATTATATATTTTGGTCTCAACTTAACTTATCATGGAGTCTATGGATGTTTCTCATTGGTGATAATGTTGTTGCTATTATATCACTCTGCTTGTTTCCATGGAGATATAGCGTTAATGGCTTTTTCAACCATATGTGCATGGTGTTCTGTTGTTTTATAAATAAAGGAGTTTTAGAAACTGCAGAACATCAAGCACATGTGGTTGAAAAAGCTATAAACACTATATCTCCACAGAAACTGGAGGGGTGATATAATAGTGATGTGGTGAGGAACCTGAAATAATGAAGGTTTTTTGCCACCAGGAACTTTCATGATACATCAAATATATGCTGCATACAGAGTAGTAAAAATGAATTGTATAGAGAAATAACAGTAAAACAGCATTAAAATTCACACAATAAAATTGCTAGTACTTCTAAAGACTTACAGTTATTATTGTCAGGTAAAAATTGAATGTGATTTTTAAATTTTAAAATAGAAAAAATGTAATACATTTTTTTAAATATGTAAAGGCATGTGGTTAAGATACAAAACATTCATAAAGTTAAAACAAAATATAAATAAATGTAAATAATAAGGTTTATATGAAATTATCAAAAAAAAAAAAATAAAGATAAGAAGAATAAAGTAAAACACTAAGTGTAAAACTTTTTTATGAGCATCTACAGGCCAAATTGTTTGAATAATGTCATCCATAATTGTGGAATATCGACTGTGGGGAGATTTCATGCCAATAAAGATGAAATATATTGGATTTCCAAATGAACAAAGTCAAAGTTCTTTTTTCATAGTACTGCCGGATTAACTTAACTCAAGCCCAAAGGAACTTGTAGCTGTACCATAGTATTCTAGAGAGCTCCATTGCAGGTCTGTTGTTTGCAATGTCATCTTGGTGCTCCTCAATGCAAACTTGTAACATTCTGGTTGTCCCCAATATACAATGTTGTAGATCCTGTTAAAAAGTGCTGTAACAGAATTGCATAAACTCCTTGAATTTTTGTATAAAGTAAGGCTATTCCTGTATTTACACAGTAACCTATGTAAAGTTAGTTGGGAAACAATTGGTAAAATAAAGTTGTAAGTTCTAAAGACAGGCTATATGTAAAAGGAATTGGGGATGTGCAATGTGATCTCATGTTTATTACAAAGGAATGTCTGTGGAAATACAGACTTCCTAACAAAGTTAACAAGGTAATTAAACCTGGCTGGGTATAACCTGCCACACTCAGTGTAATAGAAATAATTTGCAACTCTTTGTTTACTAAAGCTTGAATGAATGGAACTAAGAATGTTATTCCTATGAGAGCCAAAATAGTAAAATTTACAAAGGATGGGTGTTGGAATGCAGTGGAAGGAACAGTGTGGTAACATACCAGCTTTGTGGTGGATAGAGAACATAAGTCCAGAAGGCAGTCTATGTATGAATAAGTCTAAAAACAATATCTTCACCTCTTGTTCATACTCCATGGAAAAATTAATTGGGGAGTAGACAAAAGATAACATGCCTATAAAGATGTTTAACTTTTCTTCAGTGCCATCCCATGCAAGCAAAACATCATCTACATAACACATCAATAGATGCAGGGGTGGGTAATGGATGGCCAGTGGGGAACTAAAAACTCTAAACTCAACATTCCTCATGATAAGTTCTGCAAGAGTGACAGAGGAGAGAGAGCCCATAGGTACTCCCTGTTTTTGCTTGTAAATAATAATAATAAACTGGAAGTAATTGTTCTCTGTAATAAGAAAAATCACAATCAAAAAGCAAAAGTTTACTCCACAATTAATTTTTCCATAGAGCATCAACAAGGGGCAGAGATACCGTTTTTAGACTTAATCATACACAGATTATCTTCTGGGCTTATGTTCTCCATCCACCACAAGGTTGGTATTTTACCATATATTGTTCCTTCCACTGCCTTTCAACCATTCTTATCTTTATTTTTCTCGATAATTTCATATAAACCTTACTATTTACATTTATTTATATTTTGTTTTAAGTTTATGAATGTTTAGTATCTTAGCCATGTGCCTTTATACATTTAAAAAAAATCTGTCTTACATTTTTGTCTATTCTAAAATTTAAAAATCACATTTGATTTTTGCCTGATGACAATAACTGTAAGTCATTGAAAGTACTAGCAATTTTTTTAAGTATGTGAATTTTAATGCCATTTTTCTGTTATTAACTGTCCACAAAAAACCTTTATCAGTGTTGTGCAATCTTTACAACTCAGACGACATCGTTCTAATGGTCAAGGGGAGACAACGCTTAGTCAGCACCTGAAGATCTTGGTGGAGGTCGAAAACGTTAGTGGATATTGTAACGAACACAACACTGATAAAGGTTTTTTGTGGACAGTTATTACTCAACACAGTCTTACAGTTAGAAGATGTTTTGTGTTTACTGTTATTTTTCTTTATCATCATTTCCAGCACAAAGTGTGTTACTTTGTCAAAAAATGAATTGCCAATGTAAATAACAAAACCAAAATGAAAATTTTGATATATTTTATAAGGTAAATATATGCAGGCTAAGGCCATTATGGAGCCAACCTTTCATTCTCCAATGTATTTTCACGGGAAACTTCTTTGTCAACACTGAGTTGAGCCATGTGGTGCCTGCCTCTTTTTACACACATCCATACCTTTTCACAGTCCATCCAAGAATAAAGAAAACCCTCTCCTTTTTTATCATGTGAATCCTAGCCCTTATAATTGGTCCTTAGACCCATCCAAACTCCCTAGCACCGGGGTAAGGAACTTCTAAAGTGCGACAATGGTCACTGGACCACAGCAACAACATTGCCATTAATGAGAAGACACTCATAGACTTCATTGTGGTAGGTTAAATTGAGACAAAGTATAAATTATTTTAATATTTAATTTATAATTAAAATTTTTCACATTATAAATAATACTCACAAACCATATTGTGTTTTGCATTTAGTTGTGAACTAAGTGCAAAGCAATATGCATTCCAAAATAGAATGCTAACACTGGAAAGATTCAATTTTTTTAGAGAGTGCTACCTGAGGAAGGTCTTAGGTTTGGACTAAAAACATTAATGACAATAGTTTTTACAACTAAGTGCAAAGCACAATAAGGTTATGAGTCTTATTTACAGTAATAAATGCTTTGTTGTTAGAAGATTATTTTAAATTTTAAACATTTCAGCATATTGATTAATAATTTATTTCAGAAAAATAAGCAAAAATTAAAAATATGAAGTATTAAATAACAATCTCAAGATGTATTTTCTATTTCCCCTCTAATATAGAAGAATCTGCTTGTTATAATCAGATATTTTCATCATATTGTCTAGTCATCATAATTAACATGTTAAAAAATATACTTATAAAACTTTATTTACTGTAATTAGTTGTGGTTATAGTTCTACTTACCTGATGATCATAGTAATATCACCATTAACATGTAAATAGGAATTTTCGAAACTATGTTTTCTTACTATCGGCTTCAGCATACAGCTAATAACACAAATTGATATCAATCTATCATTGCTTTAAACATTAAAAGTTTATCATTTATTAATTATATTTTGTAATTGTTTTAACGTGTTATTTTAATGTTGGAGGTAATAAAATTAGACTTTTCATTAAATGTTCTTATTTACTTAGCCTTAAGTTCCAAAGTGATTATAATAAACAGATTCTCCTCTATTAGTAAATAATAGCAACTATCAATAAAATTTTGAACTAAAATAAAATGAAGTATATTGAAATTTCTTTTTTTGAAATGGATATTTGCTATTATTGAAATTGTATTAGGAAAAGTTTAACAACTGTGAAGTGATCTGTCAAATCTTCACTATCTCAGTATGACAGAGAAAATTATTGTATTTAATAGTTGAAGAACTTTGCATGGAAACATCTTGTGGTTGTAATTTAATATATAATAAGTAATAAATAAACAACAGATCTGGATTGATATATTTGTTAAGATGTGAAAGAGCAATGATTGATAAGAATAATTTTTAAGATAGAAAAAAATTACATTAAGTTACATTTATAATTTAATTAAATTTGACTAATTTTAACCTAATACAAGAATTTTATATGAAAAATCTATTAATGTAAATTTGTTTTGCTAATTATCATTTTATTGTTACTATTGCATAACAGTGGAATTATCACTAATAATTGATTCTAAGTTTCAAAATAAAAATTTCTTAGGCTTGTAATACTTTTTTGTAATTGTTCAGTTGAATTTTTTTTAATATTTAAACATGCTCATTAAGCCATACTTTTGTTTTATTTCTGTTAGTATTTGAAAATGTTTGATATTTAGAACATGAACCTAATGGTTATTAAATACAACTAAAAATATTACTTTTTTTCATTTTAATAAACTTTTTGCTTTTGCATTAGGTTGTGTGTAGATGATTGAGTGATTTACTACTGAAGCAATTACTTTATGTATAAGATACTTTAGAATAATTCAAATATTCCAAGCAATGAGATGATCCTGAATCTTAAATATATCTTAAAATTTTAATTACCCAAAATTTACTATAATATCAAAATTAAGATGATTCAGAATTCCATGCTTCAATGCTTAGAATGTTTAAAAATTATTTTAAATTATTTTGTTCAAAAGTTGTGGTAGATCTTTATGATTAGCATCATTATTAATTTCTGATATGACGACAATCATATATTAATAGAATTACCATTATTCAAACAAATAACTTTTAATAATAATGCTTTTTGAGATTTTGTAAATCATTTCAAAAAAATTACTGGTAATCAAAAACATTTGAACTTTATGATTATTTATGACAAAAGATGGATCTGGTGGTTAAGAAAGAAACAAACATTGTAATATGGATAATATAATTAATTATATACAAAATACTGTTTATATAATCATAATAGAAAATTTGTATCAATTTTAAAAATAGAAAGATCATAAAGCAGAAATCTTCTTCAGAAATGGACAATATATGGCTGTGGGCCAATTTTGACCCTTGAATTTATGCAATCTGGTTTACAGTTGTATTTATGTATATTGTATATTTTTTCTTACTAATAAGTTCAATTATATATAAGTAAGTATAAATAGTGTAATAAATAATATAAAATTGTTTTGGTAATACGAGGGCTGTTCAAAAAGTATCGGACCTTTGGTCGGCAAAAATACATTTATTGATTTTGAGGTACAAAACCCTAATCCCCTTCAAAGTAGTTTCCTTGGTAGTGTATACACTTCTCCCAGCGTTCCTGCCATTGCTGGAAACACTGCTGGAACTCCCCTTTTGGAATGGCCATCAGCCAGTCCATCGCATTCCGCACTATGTCTTCTCTCGACTAAAATCGGGTTCCTTTTAGCGGCATTTTTAGTTTGGGAAATAGCCAAAAGTCACACGGAGCCATGTGGGGAGAGTACGGAGCGTGATGAACCACAGGAGTGTTGTGTTTGGTGACGAAAGCCCGAATCAGATGCACAGAATAGACGGATGCGTTATCGCGATGGAGCTGCCAAGTTTTGATCGACCACAGATCCAGTTGTTTGCGTCACACAGCATCGAAAAGACGATGAAGGACCTCCTGGTAGTACTACTTTGCGATGGTTTGGCCTTGTGGTGCGTACTCACGATACACCACCCCACGAGAGTCGAAAAAACTGTCAACATGATCTTGATATTTCTGCGGATCTGCCGCACTTTTTTTTACCTCGAGGATCGTCCCCGAAAGCCTGCTGAATCTTGCGAATGGTTTACGCTTGGGTATCGCCAAGCTTTTGGCAAAATTTGATGTAATATCGCTGCTCACGTTGTTCAGTCATTTTCCAACTTAGTGGAATCTGACGAGAGCTCACTACACATTCTCACTCATAGGCCGACTGCCAGCTACTGACACTTCCTGCAGGCGGGAAAAAATTCAGGACTGTGGATGACTGTCCCCTCCACAACTCCACTGAAAGAGGCCTGCCGCGCATCATTGGTTTACGCGGAAAAAATAAAAGTCCAATACTTTTTGAACAGACCTCGTATATCATACACTATTTTAGTAATTCTAAAAATTATTCTATAAATTGTAGAAAGTTAAAAGATGACAAATTAAAGAAAACTGAAAACATTTTATTTAGCTAGGAGTTGGAGATATTGCAGCTGTGTTAAAACTTACACTGACATATAAATGGAAATTAAATTTAGGTCTGTTATTTGTGGTTTTCCATTTTGAGTATGAGTTCACAAATACTTAAATTAATTTGAAATTGTTAGCTAGTGTCGTGTCTTTGAACAAATTTAAGTTTCTTTGAAACTAGAGAATTTTTGTGTTTAACTGTGAATAAATTCAATTGCAGGCATAGAAATAGGTGTATATACTACTTATTTAATAAATAAATTAGTTAAAAAAGCAAAAATAAATAATTCAGTGATGGAAAAATGCAGCTTGGCATTGTGACGATGTCACAATAAATAATTGCTTGTTCTTTATAAGTTGTTGCAAATTCTGTAATACCATATGTTAAAAAAAACTTTATAAATGACACTTGTTTTATGTCCACTCACATATGTGACCACTATTGATTTTCACCAAGAATGGTCACAAATGGGAGGTTTTATTATTGTTGTATTTTCAGATTTTGGAATTTTATAAGTAAATTTGTTCTTTGTACATGAAACTGAAGATGGTTGCAATGATGCCAAATATGTACAATCTTTAGCATCATTAAAAATAAACAACTTTAACATCAATAGACAGTTTGCTTTATTCTTTATGCCAAAGATGTTACTTATTAAACTTAGTATATGTCTAAAGACACTCTGATTTGGAGTACAGGTATCCCTTGCTTAATATGTGATTTGATTAACTTGTGAAATTAATTGCAGAAATTCCTTTATATACACAGTAGAAGTTTTAATTAAATTAATTAATGTGGCTTTAACAGCTGTCTTTACCTAATTAACATAGATATGTTTTTCTCAGCAAAAGATGTTGGTGAATTTGCTGTTTTTGTGCTGGGGTAATTTCCAAAACAGATATATAGTTTAATTGTGATAGTTGTGAAATTTAACACATTACTGTTAATGTGATATTTATTCTTTGTTTAGAAACTTATTTTAAAACTTCACATTTTGTTTCTGTAAACTCAAATTGAAACGTTCTGCAAATAAAATGCATATTATGGATACTTTTTAAGTTTTATAAAGGATAAAACATTATACAAGTAAATCTACTCATAGTGTGTTTTTTACTGTTTTATTGTTTGTATGTTTTTTACTGTGAAAGATGTTCTTAAATGCCATACATGTCAAATATGGTTTTGAAAGTTTTGTTTTGGAAATTTTGAACTAAAGGATATAAAACATACAGGATGCTTGAAAGCTGTTGACAAAGAGAAATTTCAGGAAGAAATTGTTAAAAATTGACAAATAACAACTTGTGAACTTGCAACAAATCTTAGTATGTTATTAATGTGATGATTGTGTTCTACATGCATTAAGTGAAAAAAAGAAACAGGCCAAGTATAATTTTGTCTGATGAAGGTAGGCAGCTCTAAGATTTCATTTTATTTTAAAATTAGTTACTCATTTTTTTATCATAGAAAGCATTTTTACAAATGACAAAATTAAAATATTTGTTATTAACTGAAAATTTGTTCCAAGCAGGTGGTGATTGTTCAGTTTAGAACTGAGGTACCACTCTATTTGATTAATGCAGTTTTGATGTACACAGTAGGATCGAGAGATTAATTAATTGCATTAATCAAGGGATACCTGTATTCTGTAGTTTAATTGACAATGTGCTTAGTTTAGAATATAAATTTGACATAAAAGTTTGTTATTTTATTTTTATAGCCAGGATCACAACCAGTTACTCGTTCATCTGGACCTTTCACTGTACTTACCAAAACTGATATTGAAAATAAAGATCTGTTAATCCCATCCAGAGGAGCAAGGCCAGCAGTTACTAAAGCAAGCAGCTTTGGAGGAATCTCTATACCTACACATGATTTAGGCGGTAAAGGTCATACTCCAAGAATTACCAAAGCAGGTTAATATATTTTTGATGGTTTATTTAGTTAAAATAAATAATTTATGTAAATGAATAGTATGTAATAGCAGATTTTCATGTATTGTAGTTTTGTTAAGGGCGATTGCAGATAATGAGAAAGAAAATCGTGAGACTGTTTTATAAAGTAAAATTTTTATTCTAACCAATGCTGGATTAACTTACAGATAAATAAGACAAATATCTAGGGCCTGGATTCAGTGCAGAAAAAAATAAAAATAAATAAACAAAAAATGAATAAAAAATTTTTTTTTAAATAAAGTATTTTAAAATAAATCTTTAATAATACAGTGGTACCTCAGGATACGAACACCCCAGCATACGAAATTTTCAGGATACGACATGAAATTCGAACATATTTTTGCTCCACAATACGAACAAAAACTCACCATACGACGTTACATTAGTTCACAGCGTCATTTTTTATTCACTTCTGTTCGTTGGTCTCAGTCTGCGTGTTTGCTTCGTCGTGGAAGGATCTCGCTCGATAAAGGAAATCTTGAGGTATTATCAGAAAGTGACTGATTTTATTGAAAAGAAACATCCCGAAAAGGTTCACATTGGCCGTATTGCTGCTCAGAGTAATGACATTTGCCTAAGTAATTTTAGAAACATTTTAAAAAGTAGGCAAAGCCAAACCTCTTTGGATAGATATTTTACCAAGTGACCTCTATCCAGTGAAAGTGCTGATAGAAGTGAAGGAACGAAAGCAACAAGCAGTGGATAAAAAATTTAAAAAAATATATAAAAAATAAAACAACACTAATTTTTTAAAATCTTTTCTAAGTTATTTTTAAGTTATTGTTACATTATGTTATGTAAGTTAAGTTTTAGTATTTCCCTTCTCCCTCTCTTCCGCCACCAATTTACACCTCCACTGTCGTCTATCCTCAAAGGCAAAGTGCAAATAAAACTACATTTTTTTTAATCAATTATTATTCTATTACGATTATTTATACATTTACAACTACAAAAAGCATTTTTCAGCGCTTTCCTTACTATAGTTTTTTTTAATGTATTACTTAGCTTTAATTTGAGTGTGTTTTTCGTGTTGGAATGAATCATTTGGTTTTACATGTAATGTAAAACCAAATAATTCGTTCCAACACGTATGTGGGAAAAAATGATTCACCTTACGACATTTTCATGATACGATCTCAGTGTCGGAACGGATTAATTTCGTATCCTGAGGTACCACTGTATAGAATATTTATGTTGTTATCTTTAAATAATACAAATAAATTTCATCATAATAATTGATAAAGTAATAAAATTTGATTTGATGCTACATACTGTACCAGTGTATATTGTGCATGACCTACGTATACATGATAACTCCAAATATGCATGCATACTGTACATATATGTTCACTGTTCACATGTATAGTAATTAGGGAAGAGTGTTGTGAAGTAGTGACACCTTAATATTTTTGGCCATAACTAATGTAAGTCACAGGAAAAACTGATTTTACAAGATTTTACAACAGTAATATGATATCTTAAATATTGCTACATAAAGTACAAGGTAAGATTTCTCTAAAATTTTTCCTGAAGTACTAATTCTAAAATAAACGATTCTAAAATAAAAAGACATAAATTTGAGCAGTGCAAATATTGTCATCTAGTACTGACCAGTTACTGTTCTAAAGTGTATTAAGATCTTAATGATGATATAAATTGTTAAGTACAAAATTTTTTTACCATAATAGAATAGGGTGGTATTGTACTATAACCAATAATAATAACATTTATTCAAAAAGTGAATACTAGGAAAACAGGAACAAATTTTTGAAGGTTTACAATGAACTTTGCTGCTTACAATTATCACAAATAAAATACAAAATATTTTCTTCATCAGCACATTTAATGTGCACCAAATCCTTACATGCAATATACTGTACTCAGTCTTCTTGAATGAACTTTTAATTCTGATCTTATATCTACATATTAAAAAAGTAGCTGTTTTTCCCTATCTTCATTGAAAGTCCTTTGTCATTTACCCAGTCTGAGGAACCATATTCATATTTTTACCAACTTGGATTGCTTTCATTCAGTCTAGGCTTACTAATGTTTTTGGAACTGAAAATATTGGAAGTTTCAGTCAAAAACTTCATCTATTGCCATTTTCATGCCAGCTTTGGTCCATTTTACTTTCTTATTTTTCTCACTTTCTGCTATTTTTCTCTAAATTAAGAAAGAAAACTGAGACCTTTTTCTTAAAATTTAATTTTGGTCAGTTCTAGATGTTACCACTTGGGTAACATTTTGGAGATTGTCCACTGTATACAGTTTTATATTGTGAAACTAATATGATTTATTTATTTTAACATAATATTACTATAGACAAGTTATATCTTAAAATGAAATTAACTAATTATCCCCAAAATAGAATTAAAGCCATGAAAATAAATTTTGATGCACTAAATACCAACAAGTATCTTCTCTGGTTCATGATTCCACAACTTTAATCAAACCAAATAGTCCCAAAGTATATGATCTATGACGATACGATATTATTATTCTGCATAATGTCTACAGAATGCCAAATTAGCTCCAGTAGCAAAAAGCTAATAATGGTTGGTACTATATGACTCTCCCCTATAGTAAAATATTAGGTAAGAGGGCATTTTGGGAGACCCAGTTGTGATTAACATTTTTGGAAAATAAAAGAATAAAAATTAAAAATTTTTAAAAGCTAATTAATGAGTATAATTATGCATATTATTTTCCCAGCTGTTAAGTATGGTTATCCAGCAAAAAATGACCCCCCTCAAATTTTTACATTTTTGGATTTTGGACATCTTGAAATGTTGAGAAATGCAAAAAAAATTCAAGTTTTTTTCTGTATTTATGAATGTTAATGTGTGAGGCATGATTTTGTTCACCCTGTTTGAAGCTTAATAACTCCTGTTCTTTTTGTCAAAAATTTCTGAAATTTTGCAGGGAGGTTTGTTTATTAGGAGGATTGATGATATTAAATTTTGGTGGTTAAAGATCAAGAGGTTGGGGAAATAATGGGTCACATGTATCTCCAGTAGAGTAAGACTTAATGATGATTTATCCCCATTTTACTTCTTATTAGCATTTACAATTTTTTATAAAACTCATTCCAACCCTGAAAATTAAGATTTTTGCCATTTTATAATAGTTGAAAATATAATAATTTTTTTAATAAAATATGATAACAGATGGTGCAACCAAAATTTAAATGTTGCCAGGAAAGTTGAGTAACTTGTTGCTGGTTTATTTTTATATATTTTTCGTCTTAAACTCTCTTATTATACAATTATTATTGTATTAGTGTTTGTATTCTCTATTATTAATAAAAATTTTAACTGACATTTTTTAAGATTTTTTTTTAGAAGCAACTTAGTTAAATGGCATTCCAATTAAATTTTGTCTAAGTCCTTCTAGAGGCTTAATTTGGCACTGATTTTAACACCTAACATCTAATTGTTTACAAGGTGAAATTTGAAAACTTAAATGTTTCAGAATAATAGTAGATTAAAGGTAATCACAATAAAATCATAAAATGACTTGTCAGTATGACAGTGCAAGATTAAACAAACTTTATCATGAATGTATGTGATCAGAAGTGTGATTTGATGATTATTACTAGCAATTTATATTACAGTGAAGCATGTAAAATTAAAATCTCAACAAGTATAAACCTTTTTTTTTTTTTTTTAAATTCAATTCTTGTTACAGCAACAAAGTACAAAATTCAGAGAACTTTTTGTTGTTAAGCAAAATTGAATTTAAAATGGATATCTTGGAAATTATTTTTAGTTTTTATAAAATGTTCAAATATTTTTTAAGTTTAATAAGTTTAAACTATCCCATAATATATATTTTCAGAGGAATTTATACAATTTGATACTTTATAATAATTTTAAAAAGTATAAAACTTAGTGTTAAATATCAAGTAGCTGTTTACTATTTGATAATAAATACAACCGAATGGTCATTACTTTCTGGATGACCCTCATAAACTATGAGGGTCATCCAGAAAGTAATGACCGTTCGGTTTTAATAAATGAAAGAAATATATTTTATTAACAAAAATGTGTCACTTACAAAATTGGAGCTTACTTTATTTCTCTACATAATCACCATCATTATTTAAGTATTTGTCATATCTGTCCATGAACTTTAGAATTCCCATCTTGTTGTAGGCTGCTGCCAGTCCATTAAGCCAGTTGTTTACTGCATTCTTCACCTTGTCATCACTTCCAAAATGCTTCCCACCAGGAACTTTTTGAGCTTCGTGAAAAAGCTAAAATCGCAGGAGCAAGGTCTGGACTGTAGGGTAGATGATCAAAAATTTCCCATCCAAATCGATCCAGTAAGCCTGTGGTTGCAGCAGCAGTGTGAGGGCGGGCATTGTCGTGAAGAAGCACAATACCACGAGAAAGCATTCCATGCCTATGATTTTGGATTGCTCATTGTAGTTTTCTTAGGGTGTCACAATATCAATCTGCATTGATCATAGTGCCTTTTGTCATGAAATCCACCAAGAGAAAGAGAACACCCTTACGATCTCAAAAAACCGTCATCATGAGTTTTCATTCTGACAGAGTTTGTTTGAATTTTTGCAGCTTTTGGGGGGATGAGGGATGATGCCACTCAAGTGATTGGCGCTTGGTCTCTGGGGTGCAGTGAGACACCCGTATCTCATTGCCAGTAACAATTTGATCAAGAAAGGCATTTCCATCTGCATGATACCGCGTCAAAAATGTTAGTGCTGTACCCAATCTCTGTGTTCTGTGCTGGTCACTCAGTTGCTGAGGAACCCATCATGCACAAATTTTGCTATAGCCAAGATGTTTAGAGACAATTTCACCAAGCAAAGAATGAGAAATGTTAGGGAAAGAAATGTCGTGTAACTCGTCCAAGGTTATGTGTCTGTCTTGCATGATTTTGTTCTTCACTTGATTTTTCAAATTATCTGTGATGAGTGACGGACGTCCAGGTCGAGTTTCATCATGGACATTTGTTCATCCATTGTTAAACATTTCACACCACTTTCTCACATTTCTTTCGTTCATTACTATATCACCATACACTTCCTTTAGTTGATGGTAAATTTCTGCAGGTTTCAACTTCTGAGCATTCAAAAATCAAATAATGCCTCTGACCTCAAAGTCAGCAGGAGTTTGTATCATACTGTTCATTGTTGACAATTACAGAATACACAATAACAACTTGTTTTGACTAGCACTCACACAACACTGAGAAAAGATGTTGAGGAAACTATTCAACCTTGGATAGTAGCCTGAGATCAAACTGCGCAGCCAGAATGCACAATAGGTCATTACTTTCTGGATGACCCTCGTATTATCTGTACAGTTTAATATATTTGTATTCTCAAGTACTTCAGTACTCGAGAATACAAATATAAATCATGGTTATTTTAATGTAATAACATGTAGAGATTATATACAATGAATATAAAAAAGAAAGTTGTAAGCAAGTAGAATTATTAAAAAATGATTAAGTAAAAATAAATTGATTGTGATTTTGAATTTCACCATCATCTCAAAGTTTGAAATAGTATATTCTTCTTCAAGTTTCAAAATTGAATAAAAGGTTTAAGATCTGAAGCAGACCTATAATTAGGTTGAAAACATTTGTTCACATGATTTGTTCACATTAAACTCCTGTGGTATTAAAATAAGGTTTTTGGTGTATTGATTGAGTAATCCAGCTTTTAGAAGTATTTGGTGAGATGTGATAAGTCCTCAGATTAGAAACCAATATATACACACAATATAATATAAAAACTAAATTATTTTGGTTAAAATTTAAATAATTCTCATTGGGATTCAATTTTAAATTTTATAGTGACAGATGTTTCTAAATTTGCTTGTTTACCAATGTGTATTTTGGAACACTTAGTCTATGTGATATATTATATATGAAACAATTTTTAGAAATGATATAATAATGCTAAAAACGTTAAAACTTTTTGCTAAAATTTATTTTCTTTTACAGAATCTTTTAATGTAACTACACTGTCATCAAGTTACAGTAATTCCAATATGGTAACAGGTGTTGTAACTACTACACTTCCAGAAACAGCATCTACTCCAACTGATTCTAATCAGTTAACTGTTCCTTCAGTTGTTCAAGCACAGCCCAGTCCTGCTTTTCAAACTCAATCAATAGAAACAAATCAGGGATTTCCTGTGATTGTTGGTCAGTCACCATCATTATCTATATCACAGGTAATATTTTATTTTTATTATTATTATTATCTTAAATTGTAATACAAATTGAAAAAAAAAATATATATATAATATATTTTTTTTTCAATTTGTATTACAATTATATAATACACACACACACACACACACACACACACACACACAAACAAACAAACAAACAAACACAAGTATCGCTCATATAACATGGTAATTTCATTCCAAAAAAGTGCCATGTTATGTGAATCTGTGCTATATGAAACAAAGTATTAATGCAAAACATAGGTTAGGTTCCAAAGTTAACAAAAGTATGCTATTATTTTTTGTTACTCAGAGAAATATTTTTATTAAAGCAATCAATAATTAAATAACAGTCACAATTAAAAGTACTGTATGATGCATTAATATTAATTATAGTTAAATGAGGGCATTTTCTTTTTACTAAGTATCATAATCGTCTGAGCTTTTTTGTCAATCTCAATCAAAAATATTAGCAGCATCTTCATTTTTTTATTTTTATCATGAAAAATTTTTATGGATGACAAAATAAAAATGTTATCAATAAAAAATTCTACAGGGTTGCATTTGTTCAATCGAGTACCAAGTGATTTTTTTCAGAGTTTGGGTTTGAATTGGGAACAGTTCCACTGTATTTCATTCATCATTGTATTTTTATAAATGATTACGTACCTACAGTTTAAAAAAAAAGTTTAATAACACTTACCTAAAAATGTTTAATCTTCATATTTAGTAAAGTTTATTTAATGTATGAAAAAAAAAACACAGTGAAGTGATAGTCTTAAAGTCTGAAAGCAACAAGAACAACATTTGATTGATAGGATGGTTAGGACAAGGAAGGAAAAATTGCACTATCAGTTTTTATTAAAGTAAACCTGACAAAAGGCACAAAACAAATAGAAAATATCAATATTATAAGATCCATGGAAAAATTTGATTACACACGCATGCTTACTTGAATAAAAGAAATACCAAATAATGGAGTTTGCACTTAAATTTTGTGCAGAGGATTTCCCAAATTCTCAAACCAAGTTAGAGTGAAACTGTGTTGTAGAAATGTCATGTTGTATAAGGGATATATATAGTCAAACTTTTATATAATAAAGTTGCTAAATTTTGAAAAAATTTGCCATAGGAAAATTTTGTTTCATTAATTAAGAAATAACACCTTTTGGTAAATACTAATTTTATTTACCAAAAAGTTAATTTTAATATAATTTTTTTATTATTTTATGCAATTTAAATTAACATAAAATTTAGAGTTCTGGCATGTTCCAGCAACAATTTTTTTATTTGTCAAATGTTTTCAACTGTGTAAGTAGCTGTCATCAGGATAAAGCATATAATAGAATTCTTTTTAAATTTAAATTTTAACATTCTTAACAAAATATATCAATGATAATGACAAAATAAACTAAAATAACAAAATAAAATACAAAAAATAAAAAATAAATAAAGAAACCATAAAGTACAAAAATATTCAACACACAACAATAAACCATAAAATTCAAACAATGTTGATGATCAATTACAAGATCCATTGTATATATTTAGAAGTTTCTGTAAAGTACTATATTTAGTTTGTTGCTCTACAACGAATTTATTAAAGAGCCGGGACCTAACGGGTACTTTACGCGGGTTTGCGTTTATTAGTTGCCAGGCCTGGACTTTTAGCGTGCACCGAAATAAATTAAGGACAAAGTTAGTCACAAAAAAAATCTCAATCATAAATGTTTAATCAAGTCTAACAAATACTATGTACAAGATTTATAAACAAACAACAAGTTTATTAAATAAAAAATCAAATCACAATCAGCCCGACAAGCTTAAGTCTTATTCTAACTTAGAACTATTCCCCTTGGAATTCCGACAAAACAAAATTCAATTCTTAACTTAGTTACAAATTCTCTTATAACTATCAATCCTAACCGTCACCTCAATTAATACTCGGAACCTTTTCTTCTACTCAAGACTTTCCTATTTTCAAATCATCAAAATCGAACCTTCAATCTCCTACTAGGATTTCCTATTCGACACCTTGTTCACTGCTACCAGCAGACCAACACTTTCGGTTCAGGAGCTCACCTCGTCTGTCTTCACTTGAGCTACTGTACTTATAGTCTGAGGTGACGTCACAGTTTCTAATTGAGACACTCCCCTCATTTACATATCTACACGTAACATTCTTGTTTTCTCTTCGTTATCTGGTAGCTTATTTCTCGACAATACGTTGTTAACCTTTTACAGCATTTCTTTAACAATTATCAGGATGTTTCGTTTTAAGGTTATACAAGTCCCTAAAAAGTCTATGGGGTGTCCCCCCCTTCAGTGTGGACGTACAATTCTGCTGCTCGGGCGTGCATGTGAGTGCGAGTGCTAGCTATGGCGCTGTCGTTTCGTCATCGGTGAGTTGGTTAATCTCTTATCTTCTTGTTTTTAACGTTAGGGTGATGGGTGAGGAAACCTTCGTCCTAACTAAACATAAGCCCCAAACAAAAATATAATAAAAGCAAAATAAAAGTAAAATAAAAATAAAGCTCGGACTTGGTTCCTTACATTTCTAGAATGTGTTTTTGTCTTCTGCCACACAAGGATGTATGTTTTGGCAGTGATTAAGGTACTGCTGATAAGCTAGTGGTATCCTTATGGTTTACCATAAGGATGCCACTATCTTATCAGCAACATGGAAATTTCTCAGAAATCATGATGGAGTCAAAACTACACAATAATTATTATTGTATATATTTAATGGAATTTGTGATTGATTATCATCATTGTTTATATTTTAGGGTTTATTATTATGTGATGTATGTTTTTTATGGTTTCTTTATTATTATTATACAGTATTTAGTGTGTTATATTCAGTTGATACCAGTGGCTGTGTACTGTGCCAGACCAGAGTCAAGGCATAGCAACCAAAAACAAAAATTAAATAAGTGTGTCAGTGTCTGTATTCAGGAATTTCCTAACAATGTGGCATGTATTCAATATAGTGGCCTTCTGTAGTGTGATGTATGTGTTTCTATTCAATTGTAATGTGCCCAGGCTTTTGTGTATTGTGTGTACCTGTGATATTACCTGTGTAAATTACAGAATACCACAGGTGTGGTATTCTGTAATGTATGTGTTGTGATGTTTATGTTTTGTGTGTATTTTGATTTTCTTGAAAATGTTTGAGTTGTTTCTTTAATTTGGGTGTTATGTTGCTTTTAGTGTATTGTGTCAGCCTGCCTAATTGCTGTCTAATGTCATTTATTTGTGTTTCTATTCTTCTCTGCCAGGCAGGCTTGTGATAGAATTATGTTTTGTGTCTGTCTGTCTGTGGTTGTATTTTCAGACCATGGTGTGTTACTAATGTGACTGCCCCAGCATAAACTAATGTATGAATGTCTGAGAGTATAGAAATTAAATGGATGTAGTGTGGTAGTAAGTGTGTGTTTACATAATTTAGTGTTTTTCCTACTACTTTTGACGTGTTGATTTTTGGTATTTGTGGTCTTTGTGTGAGATCTGTGCCTGTATATTTAGTGAGTGTTTCCTGAAATATAAGTGAGAGTGTATTAACTAAATCTATATCTATGTTATCAGTGATGGATGAGGAAGTGTCTGTAGTATCATTAATGGTAGTTGTTTGTGTGCTATTATCAATGGTTGTTGCTGGATTATCCTGACAGGTTACGTGATCTTCATTAATGTTGTTAAATGTTTCTGTCTGTTGGTGTATTTGATCAACAACCTGTTGTTTGATAAGTTAAGTGTTGTTTGTGGGATAAGGTGGTTGTGTATAATTGTTCTTTTTTGATCAACAACCCTTTGTTCGGTGACAGTGAGGTGAGGATATTGTTGTGTGAATCTATGGTGTAGTTGTTGTCTGTATGCTGTCATGTTTGTTTCAAGTTTTGTGATTGAATAGTAAGTATGGATGATAAACTTATTCATTTCTATTGTCCATTTCATTTGTTGGCATGGTTTTCCAGCCTTTGTGGTCTATGGATGCATTGCCATAGAAACACCAAGGCTAGGTTGATTCCTTACATCTGTTAAGGACATTGCAGTAGCCATGCTTGGGACGGTGCTGCTTTCGCCACCAGTAACCAAGGGAGACTGTGGCCTATTTTTCGAGCGTGAGTTTTTACGTTCATTGATCCAGATTTAGAACAGTATTGAGAATATTAAAATTTTAATTATTGTAAAATCATTTACATGTTGTGGCATTACCACAGTGAATTATTAAAATATAAATATAAAATGTTCACGACCACTTTCGGTAACGTACAGTTACCATCTTCAGATGAAATGAATACTACAGTTTTCTGTATCAGAGTTATAGCACTTCTTGAAAAAGCGGTGCGGCTAAATGGAATTCCAATGTAAATCAAAATTTTCTTGCAGTTCGAAAATGTTTTGAAATGGAACGGAAAATTATAAAAATTTGCAAACTGGTTACTATGTGATCATGTAGCTCTAGCAATCTAATTTGTAACATTTAAATAAAGTAGTCCATGTTTTAGAGATTTCCAGAGTTGTGGTATTACATGGTGAAAGCGTTGAAATATATAGGTTTTCCCAAATAAAGAGTTCGTTATGATTATTGCATCTTTTCAATAGTTTTGTTTGGTCCCAAACTGGCTGGTAGTCCCAAACGGTGTTGGTTGGGTCCTGATTCAAGACCCAACCAACACCATTTTGCGAAAAACACGCAAGATCATGTCTCTCCCAGGGATTACCTCATCTTTGACAGGTCCTCTACAACCTCCAAAGAATACAGTTTGTCCCAAATTATTTTTTGAAGTGAAAATGCACAAGCATAATTGGCCTTTAAGGCCACTCGTCAATAAATGCACTCATCCAACATACCATCTCGAAGCCGCCACAGCTAAATTACTTACATCCTTAACACCTCCTTCTAACTTGGTGACCACAGCCTCTATACATGCCAAGACTGTTATTTTTTCTACTCTAGGAGATCTTCCAACTAATGAATACCACTTTTTTAAAGTCGATGCTGTTTCCCTATTTCCATCAATACCTCATTTTGAGGCTGTCATGTTCGCTAATATGTTGCTACTTAATTCTGGCTTCCCAGCCTCACATATCATACATTTATGTGAAGCCCTTTTACTTATAATGGAGAACAATTATTTTTAGTTTAATGGTACCATTTATAGACAGACACAAGGGGTACCAATGGGATCTCCACTTTCACCCATCTAGCAGAGCTAATCATGCACAACATAGAACAGTGAGTATTTGACGCTCCCCCAACCATCCAATACCCACCTTATACTTATGTTATGTTTACAACATTTTAATCATGTGGGAGGGTTCCACCAAAAATTTAAAGCTGTTCATAAAAATGTTGGCTTCAGTGTATGCATCCATCAACTTTAGAAGAAGAATCCAATACCAGAATGTCATTTCTTGATGTAGAGATACATAAATCTCCTGCTCTTCAATTTTCTGTTTATCACAAAAACAATAGTATACCACAGATTATTCCTGCTATATCCTTTCAACCAACACACTATCTAAACTCGGCCATCACTTCCCTTATGAGAAGAGTGTTCCTTCTTCCTTCTAGCACATTATTTGTAGAACAGGAAATGCAACTTATCAAAAAAGCAATGATAAAAGCGGGCTATTCCCAAGCAAAGTTTTATTATCTTCAGAATTGAGTTAAAAATAAATTATATCCTCAATCGTTCCTTACCAATAAAGAGACCTAAGGATAGCACACCCCCCATTACCATTTCTGGGTCCTGCATCACTCAAAATTGTACACTTTTTTAGAAAAAATTGCTACATGCTACCACTATCCATGCAGCCAACATTAATAAGATTACTAACTAATGACAGAGACCCCATTGATATGAAAGAGAAACCAGGAGTTTATCTTATTCCATTACAACATAATGGATCAGAAGAAGATGCTTATTATATAGGAGCAACTGCTAGAACACTAACATCACGCATCTCAGAACATCAGGATGACATCTGTAATAATCGGCCATCAATGGAATTAGCGAGAAAAGTCCTTGATCAAGACTACTGGCTGGTTTGGGACCAAACAAAACTATTGAAAAGATGCAATAATCATAACGAACTCTTTATTTGGGAAAACCTATATATTTCAACGCTTTCACCATGTAATACCACAACTCTGGAAATCTCTAAAACATGGACTACTTTATTTAAATGTTACAAATTAGATTGCTAGAGCTACATGATCGCATAGTAACCAGTTTGCAAATTTTTATAATTTTCCGTTCCATTTCAAAACATTTTCGAACTGCAAGAAAATTTTGATTTACATTGGAATTCCATTTAGCCGCACCGCTTTTTCAAGAAGTGCTATAACTCTGATACAGAAAACTGTAGTATTCATTTCATCTGAAGATGGTAACTGTACGTTACCGAAAGTGGTCGTGAACATTTTATATTTATATTTTAATAATTCACTGTGGTAATGCCACAACATGTAAGTGATTTTACAATAATTATAAAGTCAGCGTGAAGTGATAACTAATTTTATTAAAATTTTAAACTTAAAATTCTGATGATATCTACTTAGATAGTTAAAAATGCTTGATAAATAAAAAAAGTTGCTGCTTGAATAAGCTAAAACTCTAAAATATTTCTAGTAACTTTATGATTCAATCTGTTTGTTTTAATAGCTTTATCTGAACCGTGAAGGTCAGTTAGCTTGCCCATTAAACATGGATGAAAATGTTTGCTTTTTTCTAATTTCTTCTTGCTGGATTTTGTTTATATGTGCAGTCTTTATTAATATAAATGTAATGTAATTTTAAATAAATTTTACATTTGTTTGTTAAAATTGTGAACCGCCGGGGAGGTCGGGAACCGTTGACTCTCTCTTTTCGGCTACAGGTCGTTAAACCTGTTCACTTGTCAAGATGGCTAAATTTCGAATGTGGTCCCAAAGGGTCGGGATACTTTTTGTCAGGTCGAGTGGAGGAGGTGAGAGGAGGTCGATGAGGTGTAGGCGATATGCGAGTAAAAGGACACCATTTAACAATGAAACAACGATTTATTAGATTAATGAAAAGGAAAAAATTAAAGAATACAAAACCTAACATTGGGGGAAGTGAATTTAGTTCACTTGCTCCTAACTCGCGGAGAGAGAGTTAACATTAATTGTTCCATACCTCTAGTTTACTTCCACGTAGGTGGGAAAAATTTAGTCCTTTTTGCCGGTGATTGATGCACACAGTTAAAATTTTCCGCGACTTAACCCTTTCTGACGACCGTAGATGTGAGACTCCCCCGAGGAGGGGAAAAGAAGTCGCTTTTTGGATAGGGGAAATTAGTCAGGTGATCTCCTATTGTGTGAGGTAGAGTTGGTCCTGCAAGTGTGGAGATTAAAGTTGTTCCCGTGACCAAAACAAAAATGATGAATTTGGACTTTAACTATAAACTTTTTGACTTGCAGCAGAGGAATGTCATTGTTCGAGGGTTGAATGTTTATATTAACAATGAAAGTTATAAGTTTCGATCGATATATGATTCTTTTTTCTGACAATGTTATTTTAATGAGGAGGTGACAAATTTAATTTAAATATGTCGAAAATTTAGGGGGAAAAATGAACAATTTGGGCTTATTCTGAGGTCGGATCTCACAAAATACAAGTTAGTTTAACTACATTTTTATTAAAAAATTGTTCTCTCTTCATAATATGCTTAATACTTATTAAGAGCATTAAAAATGCTTCTGGGCATATTTTCATAATGTTCAGTTCACTATGAATAATTTGAAATGTTTTTATCATTTTGTCATTCATTGGTTTTTTGTGGGTTCCTCACTATCATCTTCTGTGTCTTGAATTTTTTTAATCATTTATCCACACATTTAATTTAATTTTTATTTACACTGTTCATTTTTTTATTATTTATCTACATATTTCTTTGTAATTTTATGCTGCTATTTTAATTTTTTAAAGATAATCTTACAATCAATGTCTATTCCATTCTCTTTGTAGATGTTATATAGAGGTGAAACATACATATAAGAATAACCACAAATCATATGTATAGTTGTCAACAATATATTTGATTTATGATTATTCTTCTGTTTGTCATTTGAATCTAACTGAACATAGCATCTTAGTATTCATGATTGAAGCTTTTAATCAACTCACTGTTTATGCTATGGGCCTATCATGACTCACAAATTACAAGTTTGCAGTCTTTGGAGCCCTTATTAAAAGAGCCCACATGCATTATCAAAATATCTATGGCAGATTGTGTAACTGGAGTATATCAAGACACTTGGTTATATGATGTCTTCCTATAAATATTGGTGATAATAACACTATCCTTCAGTGAGAATGTTATGTCTAAAAAGTGTGCACAAGTGTCAATTTCTTGCTCTAACCTTAATGTAAGGCCATATGGATATAAACTTTCTAAGTTTTTATCATTTAGCTATATTATTATTACTGTTATTATTATTGAAACTTGAAACATTATCATGCATTTTTTTTTAATCTACAAAATATAATTATTTTGACATTAAATATTTTAAAATAGAATGAAATTGAATATGGATTTTAGGTTTCTAGTCAAACTCCAGTAAATTGGCAAGCAGGAAGCAGAGAATCTTCAATACCTTCTGATTTGTCAACACCTCAGGTAAATCAACCAGTTGTTTGGCCAGGATTGGAAGGAATACCAGCTGGAAGTGTTTTGTTGGGTCCTCAAACAGGTATTTAAAAGTGACTTTTTAAATTGAAATTTATAAATTTGGAAAGTTAGCTATTTACTTATACAGTAGAGCATTGATTATCTGACCCCCGATTAACCATCACATCGGTTAACTGACCATTCTAGTCGGAAAATTTCAAATGTCCGCTAGTGATGTGGCACCACAATATTTGGCTATGTCTTGTCTACTTTAATATTATTTTTGTTAAATTTTTGCGTGTTTTAGCTGGCAACACTGGCTCGACCATGAAAGGGAGGCCAGTATTTAAACGAGACTTAATTTTCTAGTTACGAGAGGTTGTTTGTTTTGTGAGCAATAAAATAATTTAAAAATAATTTTTAACGATACAATAGCGACNATAGTCTGAACTTCGAAATTCGTTCTATGAAAGCTGAAATCAACAAAATGAACGAAGAAAACTTAAAGCTCAAGGAAGAGTTGAAAGATATGTGTAAAAAAATTCGTTTACTAGAAGAAAGAACAGATTCGTACAGAAAGTTAAAAGGTATGGTGGATTTTGAAATTGACAAAATGTTAAACGAGAGAACTAAGAAGAATTTAATTATATTTAACTTTCCATTCAAAACCTCAGAATATGTAGAAGATTTTTAAAAATTTATAAGAGAAAACTTAGAGCTTAATGATATAGAAATCGAAGGTCTTATTCAACTAGGAAATAGAAAAAACAATAGAGTAACTAAAGTTATGGCCGAATCAGTTAAAGATAGAAATTTAATACTTAGTAAATTTTGGAGCACAAGACCGAAAATGACGGACGAAAATAAAAAAATAATAATATCAATGGACTTATGTTATAGATCTAGGATTAGGAGAAAATTATTATTAAAAACGATCAAACTAGAGAAATCGAATGACAACAGGATAAAAATTAGAGATGACTATTTTTTAAAAAATAATATAATGTATACTTATGATTTGAATAATAGAGAAATAATTCAGTTAAATCATTTTTTAGAGACAAATATAATACAAGATCAGTTAAAATAAACCAAAATTTAAAAATAACGCAGGAAAAAAGAAGAATGGCTAAAAATATGGAAAACAAATATAGAAAAATGAGTGGAGATAAGTGGATAGTTATAGATAATGAATTGAATGAGAAATAGGTAGAAATTCCAAAAAAAGAAAAAAATAATGTGATGATAACTTTTTGGAACATTCAAGGATTAAGAGGAAAAATATTCAAAACCTCGATGAGAAAATTTCTGGAGTCAAACGAAATTATTGGATTTTTAGAAACCTGGATTATAAAATTTAGTGAAATGGAAATAAAATATCTAGAAAAAGACAATAACGTAATAATTAGTAATGCTCAACGCAAAAATAAGTTTGGACGTGCATCATGTGGAATTCTGTTATTGATAAAGAAAAAATTAGGTGAAATATTTCTACAATATATAACAGATTATGCTATTGCTGTTATAATAAAATTAGATAATAATATAAAAATGAGATGGTCTTATACATATTTGGGAGTAATAGGAATATATATACCACCTTCTATGGAGAAGAAACCAATTCTAAATGAAGTGCAAAAAGTTTTGGATAGATGGTCCAACCTCACTCAAATGTGGATAATAGGAGGTGATCTAAATGCACGTATTGGCGAAGTTACCGATACCATATTTTGTCAGACATTTGAAAACTTAGTCAATAACAGATTATCTAAAGATAAAGTGTTAAACACAGGAGGAAAAATACTTCTAGATTTTATTAACAATAACCAACTAATAATTCTGAATGGTAGGATGAGGGGTGATACCCCTGCAGAAATTACTTTTGTTTCCCCAAGTGGGAAATCCATAGTGGATTATATTATTTGTTCAGAAGAAATGATAAATTGTTGTAATTGTTTAAACGTTCTAGACAACGACCTTGCAGATCACTTTCCAGTTCAGTTGGAGTTAATAAAATATCAAAAAATAAGTAATAAGACATATAATTGTGAACAGAGTTACTCTATTAATCTGGAATTAAGACCGTCATATAATAAACGAAAATTGTTAAATGAGTTTGATTATATGATTGAGGAGATGTTAACCTTGGAAAAAGAAAATGAACCAATAGAAAATTACCTGAATATTATAACTAAACTAGAGGAATATAGATACAAGAATTGTACACAACAAAATAGAAAAATATTTAAATGTGAATGGTATAATAGCACGTGTTATGACTACAAAATTAAAAAACAAAAGAGTTTACAAGTCTTTAGAAGAACAAACACCAGTAAAGCACTAATGAATTATCTAAAGTATAAAAAAATGTATAACAATTTAATCAAAGCTAAGAAAAAATTATTCTTTTCAAAAATCAGCAAGAAATTATCAGAAGCTAAAGATTCGAGAGTCTTCTGGAAAATAATTAATAATTTTCGTAAAAGAAAGTCAGGGTGGGATACACAAACTAAAGTAAAATATAATGATTGGCTTAAATACTACAATAAATTCTCAGAAAATTATCAGAAAAATGGCTGTAAAAAATATTTGGGAACCAAGACAAGACCAGAAATCCAGCAGGACGAGATAATTAAGATAGAAGGACTGTATCAAAAAACAGGACTGTATCAAAAAACTTAAAGACAAATCAACACCGGGATCGGATACAATACCTAACTCACTCATTAATTAAAATGTTACCAACAGAAATTATTTGATATTTAACTAGACAATTTAACCTATTTTATAGTAATAGTATAATACCATCCAAATGGAACGAAGTAATTTTCACTATGATATTTAAACAAGGGAATAAACAGGAACCAACCAATTACAGACCAATAGCCCTTCTGTCTTGTCTACGGAAAATATTTACTACAATATTAGCTAATAAATTTAATTACTGGACAGCGGCGAATAATTATAGAAATAGTACGCAATTTGCATTTGTAGAAGGGGGTGGTACTCAAACAGCCCTCTTTGTCTTGCTGTCATTAATTCAAATTCAGTTGCTTAAAAAAAGACATAAAGTGTTCGCTCTGTTTTTGGATCTCGAAAAAGCATATGATATGATTAGCATTACTGACCTACAGAGTAAAATGAAGAGATGCGAGGCAAAAGAACTTTTGATAAATATGATAGGGTTGCTGTTCGGAAAATATAAGACAATCATTAAACAGGATACTAATATCTGGACATCATTCATTACCTATAGAGGTCTACTACAAGGTGATCCGTTATCCCCATATCTTTTCAATTTCTTCTTATTTGACCAAAATGATTGTTTTATAAGAGATGAAGATGGGTTCCAAATTGAAAACCAGATTATACATACTATATCGTATGCCGATGACGTTGTGTTAATAGCTCCTACAGCAGCTGCACTTCGTAGAAAAATCCAACAAATCTGTGAGTATTTAGAAAAGCTAAGAGTTAAAATAAATTCCAAAAAATCAACAATTATGATAATTAGAAACGGAAGTAACATATCCAAAAAGCACATGTCTTTTTTCATTAATAAAGAAGAAGTGAAGATAGTGAAGGAAATAAAATTTTTAGGAGTTACATTCAAACCTAATCTGTCGTTCGATAAACACTATAAAAATTCACTAAATAAAGCAAAAATTGCAATAAATAATTTAATTGGTCTATTCTGCAAGGCAAAAATAAAGAACTTACGTTCACATTTTCAACTTTTTAATTCGATTGTGATGAACTCAATGGGATATGCTGCCCCAATTTGGAGCATGGAAAAATTTAATGACTTTGAGAAAAT